CAACCCTCTCACCAACGCACGCACTCCCCCCCCCCCTCACCCTCCCACCCAAACCCCCACCGGAGAAAACACCTAGTAGGAGGCAGCCGCCTCACCCAGCGCACCGCCTCCGCGCGCGCCCTCTCCCGCGCCGCCTCCCAGTCCTCGATCCACCCGCCCACGCCCAGCGGGACACACGTGTCCTTCGCCCCTCCGCTGCACGCACGCACCGCCTCCGCAAACGCAGCCTCCGCGTCCCCCAGTCCGCGTCCCCAGCCCCCCCAGGTGCGTCGGAATGCCTCCGTCCTCGTAGCGCCGCGCACGAGCAACCTGGCCGCCCTGAAGCGCAACGCGTCGTCCGGGCAGCTGCCGCGCGCCGCGAGCCGCTCCGCGTTGGCGAAGAAGCCGGTTCAGGCCGAAGCGAGTACCGAGCCCCCGCGGCCGCAGCCGACGGTAAGGTTTGCACTGGGCGAGGATAAGAATAGCGACGAGGAGGATTCGGACGACGGGTGGACCGAGGAGAGCGCCTCGCAAGGCCATAATAGTCCCGAGGCCACGCGCCGCAATTCCATCGCCGGCGGTGAGGCCATGCGCATTGCTGCTGACATGCCCTCGGAACCCGCTGAGCCGGCACCGCCGGCGCCCAAGCGCATCGTGAGCGACACGCCACGTCTCGCACCGCCGCTGCCGAATCAATCCTTCCTTCCCCGCACCGTGTCCGCCGATGTCCTCACCAGCCGCCTGCTCTCCCGCACCTCGAGCGCTACATACGTCGCGCCGCAGCTCAGCATCGTGTCTGCAACCGGCGTGCCTCTCCTCCACGGCTCGACCCTGAACCACACGCCCCAAACCACCGATTCTTACCCTCCTGTCCCGAGCGGGTCTTCAGGCCGCGACCTCGTTTCCCGATTCATAACCCCCGGCACAGGGAGCGCCAGCACGCGCAGTCCTCACCTGTCCAAAACGCCGCCTTCACGCACCAACATCTCTCCTCCACCGCGGCAACCGAAATCGCCAGCCTCGTCCCATCCACCTGGAGCGGCGCTGAGTCTCCCCCCGAGCCGGACACAGAAGAAGTTACTCCTCCAAAGAGCGAGCTCGAATCTCGAACCACCGCGCCAGGGCGTAGTTCCGGCTATTCTACCGAGCGGCAGGCCAGGCGCAACCAAGCTCCTCCAAGCCCACCAAGCCCAGGCCCTCGCCGCGAAGGCCTACGCCCAAGCCCAAGCCCAAGCCCAGAACGGCGATGACGGTGCGGGGGGTCTTGGGATTGTGGGCATGCCGGGGCCTGTCAATGCTCCGGGCGCGGGTGTGGGCAGGCCGATGGCGGGCGGGATAGTACTGGGTGCGGGAGGCTTGCCGGGGGTTAATCTCCCCGCGCAGATTAGAGCTGTGTTTGAGCAGGCTGGACGGCAGTACGGTGTTGTCCGCCGTTTTAGGGATCCGCTTAGGGATGCGGTTGCGCGGATGGGGGTGGGGGAGGAAGACGAGGGGAGTGTGAGGACGGAGAGTACGAGGGCGGGGAGTGAGAGGACTGTTGTGGAGGGGGGGGGGGATGGGAGACGCCAGCAAAGACCCGTGCAGCGCGGCAGCGTGTATCCGTCGGCGGTGGAGAGTAGGCCGGGCACGGCGGCGGAGGAGGAGCATGAGCCGCTGCATCGGCCGGGTACGCTTACGGCACCGCAGATGCAGGGGCGGCAGCAGCGCCGGGCTCCGAGGGTTAGTTTCGATCTTCATCCGAGTAGTAGGGCGAGTGAGGAGGGGGATGATGATAGTGGGGGGAGTACG